TAATAGAAAGGATTCGATGACATTTGTCGGTAGATAGATGCAACGTGAATCCAAACAGCCGACAAGTGGTGAGAAAAGTATAAAACGATCGGAAATCTGACCGATTATATCAGGCGAATAGAAAGCGTGACGTTTCTATGTACGGTGGCGGTTTCCCCCGCGCTGTTTAAAATTTGATGCGCACGCCTCCGCTAGTCGTATTTCTCGATTGCGTACCGAGTATACGCAATACGCGCACTATATACCATCATTGAAATGCAAGACAGCCCGATGTCCTTAATCTTGATGGTCCAAACGAAGAAGAAGCGATATCCTCTAATCTGGGATGAAACAGTCGGACACAGGATCGAACAGTTTTACTAAAATTACAGATATTTCTAAAGTGACGTTTAATCGATTCGATTGAAAAAGTAATCGACTTGAGAAAGTGGCTGTGAAAATGTACAGCAGAGGTACTATAAAAATAATACGCGTATAGTTGACAGGTTTCGATTTCGGAAGAGAAACAGTTTGGTCGCCGTACTCGCGTAGATTCCATTGTGAGCACCATTAACGCGTTATCATACTATCCCATTGATGAGTTTCATTGGCATTCCATACGGTCGCCGTGCGATGGAATACTTAAAAGTAAAGCAAAAGCATTTCGTGATATTTTCGATGTTATCTCGAATGTGCCAGAAACGAACATTTCCCGCCGCTTTAGCGTTCCCGGTTTTTAATCTCGTGGCAAGATTTTCGCCGTCCCACGCTAAAGAAATTCGACAAACGATCGGTTATCGCTCTCGTGAATTTCCCAGAACCGGCGGTATAGGTTTTCTTAGCATAACTCGATGCGATAGCCACCACCAATTAAGCCGATAATCAACTATCCTACGATTTCGAAATTTTCTTGGTAATATCGTTGCATTCGAGAATTGTGTGTGTGTGTGCGTGCGTGTGCGTGTGTGTGTGTGGACCGATGGCCAAGAAATTCGGTTGCGAAGAGAATATTGACAGTGTGTCACGTCCGACCGGCAAAAGGTTCGAGTGATCACGCTGAACACTGACACGCGAAAAGGAAAGAGGAAAAAGCATAAAAATTGTAACAGTGACGCGTAATGCAACAGCTTCGACTGGAATGAAAGAGAGTTCGGTGCAAACTACGATACGATAATGCGATAGTAGATAGAGAGCTATTCGAACGTTGCGTAGAAGAGAAAGAATAATATCCTGATAATAAACTTATTAAAATATATGATATACATATATGTATAGATACATATGTATACGTGAATATAAATATACGTACGCTGCCTTCGATAAATTCAGACCTGTCATGACGCAATCCTATCGATATATCCAAAATCGATCAACGGGAAGAGAAGCAAAAAATTATCTGGAACTCGCAAAAACCTGAGCTTTCCATTCGAACGGAATCATGGATATTCGATCGAGAGAACTTTCACGAATTCTATTCTATATTTTGGTGATCAGACTCGAGAGAAATTCTGTTTTTCGGCGAGCGAAACGAAATAGAAAAAAAGAGAGTGGGCGGTATTTCGGAAAATCTCCACTCGATACCGAATAGATGTACACCGTGCGCTGACTATAACACGACTGGCTAGACTGGTTATTCTAATTTCCGCCCACGATCTTCTCTTAAAAAGAGAAGAATTTACGATAAAGAGAGAAACGCAGAATGAAAAGAGATGCACGCAGAAACCTGGAGATGAAAGGAGATAAAAGAAGATAGAGGGAGCCACGCGATGGAATGAAAAAAGGTAGTGATGGCTTTAAACCTCACTACCTGCTGCAGATAATACCTTTCAAAGAATAAATAAATAAATAAATAAATAAATAAATAAATCTTGTGAAAATAAATAATATACTTATTTATCCTTTTATATTGATTTTCTAATCGTCAACGATCACCCGAAGTTCAAACGATACGTCAAACCAACATGGATATAACGTTAATTATCTTTTATTTATTTCGATAGAAATTCAATTCAAAGGTAATCATTTCAAAACCCATTAAATACATTATAACTATTAAATAAATAAATATTGAATAATAATGGATCGACTAATTTTAATGAGTTTCCGAAATATATTATCACGATTATCCTTAAGCGTGTGCAATAATGAATTTCACTATTGTTAAATTTCAAATAAAAATTTATAATTGACCGTGATACAATTAACGTGATAATAATGGATTCAAGTTTACACCGAGGAGAATATCAAACTTGGCAAATGTTTGCAGTTAATTAATAACAACAGATACTTTTACGTATTAGTATTTTATTTGAAAGTTTCATGTTTTCAATGGGCTGATTATTAATATTAAAACCGTAAAAAATAAATGACATTAATTCAAACAAAACTTGAAACCTGAAACTTGAAACATGAAACTTGTAACTTAAAACTTGAAACTTAATTTTCAACGAAACAAGTCATAGTTTTTTTTAATTTTGCGCCATCTTGAATTTTCAAGTAATTTGCTTCAAGTGAAATACTGACGGTCTAGGAATGAACGTGGAAACTAGAATAAGACAAAATGCCGGTAAGATAGTTGTTTAAAATGTACTTTACTAACAATGAAATCAAGTTTATTATTTTCAAACAATTTATAGTTGTCAATGTCTTAAGAAAACTAAATCCGAAATTTTGATTACTAATGGTTATCGCATTCTATTATCATTGATTTCGTAGAAAAAATATTATACTTTATGTTATGCGTATATACATATAAATATATATATTTACATGTATATATGTTTTTTGTCTCAGTTTTTTACCAAAAAACTTGAATATGATAACGTAAAAATATAAATTTTAAGGATTCTAACCTTGAAATTCAACATCAAGTATCGATGATTGAAATAAACTTTGTCTAGTTAGTAATTAGAAACAATTATCAATATTTCTCATACTTATATTAATTTTATTATTGCCCATTATTCATTAAATATTTTTTAAATCTTTAATAATATTTCTATCATTTTAAAATACACACTTCTGATCTTGTAGTAGATAAACATGAATTTTACAACAAATATGAACGACAATTGTAAATCCTATAACTAATATAATTTCAATAATGAATAATTTCCAATATGTTCATAAGTAAACCAAAATATTCATATTCTATTGCATATTCTAACCTATATAAATTGAACATACAACTGTATGAACGAGCGTATATTCCGAAATTAATAGAATGAAATTGTGTAATAAGTTAAATTTTTCTTCTGCAAAATCCCCAGATTGACAACTTTGGCTTATAATATTTAAATCGTTGATTAAATGTATTTTCAGATTCCTCGAAACAGGTATCAACTAGACAAGCTGTTCTAACAGTGACAGTAATCTTTGTTACATCGTTATCAGCATTGTTCTATGTGTACACTAGTTTTCCAGAACTTCCAGAGTAAGAAATAAAAATAAATGTGTTTCATGTAGAAAAACATTTAAATTTATTCTTTCTTTTACAGAAATGAACGACAACATATGAAGTTACCATTGCATATCGAAGATGCTAAAAATCTGGGAAAACTTTTAGGACGATATAAAGATCTCTATTACTTTGAAGTATTAACAGGAGTGTTTACGACCTACATTTTGTATCCTTTGATATCTAATTGCTTTAACAAAGAATATTATAAATTTATTTTCGCTAAATTTGAAGATATGGATAAGTTAATAAAAGTTTCCTTAACACAGTTACAGCTTACAAACCTTTGCAATTCCAGGTTCTATTTTTCTATCCATCCTTTCAGGATTTCTTTTTCCATTTCCTCTAGCATTATTTCTAGTATGCACCTGCAGTGCAATAGGAGCCTCATTGTGTTATCTTCTATCATCGCTTCTAGGAAGGAAATTACTCTTTAAGTATTTTCCTACAAAAGCAAGAGAATGGACACAAACAGTGAAGAAACATAGACATCATCTTTTCAATTATATGCTGTTTCTTCGGATGACTCCGTTACTTCCAAACTGGTTCATTAATCTTGCTAGTCCTATAATTGGAGTGCCTATTACACCTTTCACATTGGGCACATTTTTTGGAGTAGCACCACCATCTTTTGTTGCAATACAAGCAGGCCAGACACTGCAAAATCTAACATCATCGACAGATGCATGGTCTTGGAATAGTATTTTAATATTGTGTGTCTTTGCAGTACTATCACTAGTACCTGTTTTATTTAAGAAAAAATTAGAAGAAAAGTTTGATTAAGCATTAGGAATGAATTTAAGAAATGATTTATTTATTCAGAAAGCATGCACTTATTTACACGTGCGGTATGCTGAGTATTATACAAAAAAATATTGAAACCCAATTTAGTCTTAATTCTGTTATGGATATTGAATCAATTTCTATGTGATTCAAGATTTCGTTAGATAAACTATAAATAACATTCCTCGGTTTAATAAATAGTGACAATTGAGGAACATAATGGAAAACATTCACATGTCATGGGACTATAAACTTAGAGGAAAACAAACTTTAAGAAATATAATTTCGTCAGGAAATACTTGAATCAAAATTCATGTTATTTGAAGCTTTCTATTGCATTTTATTTTAAATAAAGTATTGATTCAATAGCTCTTATTTATTATTATTTTGGTTATTTGAATCATTTTGAAATGCTATTACTACATATTGCAATATGTAACGTATATATATGTCTATATATTGTTACATACGTTTAGTAAATAATAAAGGGTTGTATAAAATAATTAGTTAACAACGTTCGTCCTTTATGAGACAGCAGTATAAATTTCTTTTCTATAAGAAAACATACCTGTGACAGTGTTATAAGTTATCAGAAAGGACGTTCAATCGCAACGTCCACTTGACAGTACAAAAAACAAAAATCTGTAGATATACAGCAAGTCCCCGTTTTCCATTGAGACCTCAAATATTTGAACTTATAATTAAAAAATTAAAAATCACGTTACACGTTATAATTTTATAAATAGTTCTAGTTCTATTAGATTGTTTATATTTTTCTAGATTATTTTATTACCTCTAATACATTGATTAAATTTTCTTTCTTACTGCAATTGTTGAAAAACGTCACATCTAGAAAATCTGCACAAATTAAATTCATATAGCCATTACATTTTAATGTATACACAATCTTTATTTATAAAATGTTGCACAGAAATATTTATCATAAAACCTACTTTAATTAACAGGAATAAAATTAAAAAATGAAATTATTATACAATTGTGAAAAAATTCTTTAATAATGTATTTATTTAAATTGACCAGAAGTAATCTTTTATTTGTCACAGTTAAATTCTTAGAATTAGAATACATCCATACTTGCAGCTGAAATTACTTATGTTACTACCTAATAATTATACAAAAATAATTTAGATTCTGTAAAATATTTAGCAAAAAGAAATCATATAACTAAGGGATACATTAGTAGAATTTAAAGCTGGAAGGCTAATTGGTCGCCAATACCACCAATTGTACCATACTGAAAAAAAATAAAGTTTAAATAGTAAAACATTGTAATAAAATTTATAATAACAATTGAAAAATAATTTCAAGTAAATGTAAATAAATGTTAAAAATATATAACATTGAAAATAAAAATATAATTACTTTAATTATACAATGAAATTATCAAATTAAGATACATACAAATCTTCCCAGCAGATAATAATACTATGAAAGATTCACATGACCCACTGCATTCAGGACTTGCTACCATTTTTATTAATCTTGAACCAGTCGTACATCTTAGTACTACATTGCTGCACTCAGGGTTCGGCTGTTAATTTAGAAGTATAATGTGTTCAATGGAAAGATAATTTTATAAAATTAAAAATTTTAAATTGTATTAACAGAAAAAAATGGTTATTTTCTTGAGAGCATAAATTATATGAACACTGATATAATAGATGTAAGTAACATGTATAAACATGAAATAGTATTTTTTATCTTTAGAGTAGGTACAAGCAATAATTTTTCGTATGAAAGAAAAATTATAATAAATATTACCAAAGCATATGGTGGAGATTTTTGTTCATCAAAAAAAATAAATTTTTCTGTACTTTGTTCCCACCAAATTGGTGTATCCACAGGTATAGGAAATAGTTTTCTTAAAATTCGTCCTGCAGTCATACGATTAATTCTCCAAGTAATATGATTATCTAAGTTTTCTGACAAGCATAAATCCGTCTTACTTTTCATAACATCTCGAATATGTCTGAAATGTCATTCCTTTATTTAAAAATAGTTTTTTTAATATATTTATCATAATTTTGATGTCATGTTTTATATTATAAAAATACCTGTAAGTTAAATTATTAGACTGTACTTTCATAGCATCCCTCTCAAATACATCAAAATTTTCCCAAAATAACTGCTTTACATCTTTTAAAGAAATTTCAGATAAATTTTCTGTTTTTGTATAAGGAATTCCAGGATTGAAGGATCTAGATATCTGGTGACCAGTTAAATCAGGTACAAAGTGTACAACACTACAGGGCCAACAGTCAATATCATTTACGTAAAAGTACGGATTTTCCAATATACACCATTCATCATAAAATTCTAAAAAGAATATAAATTAAATAAACTATTAATTACAGCATTATATTAATATTAATATCATATGAAATTTGTTTTTCGTGTGCTTTGATAACACATTAATAACAAATGTGTTAGCATTCTTATTGTTACCTATAAGAAACTTTATATTTAAAGAGACAGTAAGATATGAAATAAGACTATAGAAACATTGATTCATATAAAATTATTGTAAAGTAAATTACAATATAAGAACACACCAGATAAAGAAGGATAATGTTGAATTACAGGCACAGCTATTTTTCTAAGTAACTTTAAACCTGGGTAAATAGAATTTTGCAAATTTCTCATTATCATAACTGCAATGAATCGCTGATCAAAACAAACAAAACATACAATTATCACAAATAAAATTGTAGTTATTAATTTTATACAATAAGATACACCACGTTGTTCTGTACTTGCTTCAAGAATTCGAAATGATCTTGTTAACATTTTGTCAATATCACTTTCAGAAATATTATTTTCGCGCGCATTTTGACGAATTTTTTCTAGTTCAGTTTCATATGTTTCCAAATTAACCATTTTTTTCAATTGCAAAATAGAAAGGGTATTATCGTGATCGAAAATTCTAATTTTATTTGTAAAAATGTTAAATGTACAAACGAATATATGCAAAGGTCAACTATATATTCAAAGTTTAAAAATATTTTATTTAAATCTGAAGTATATATGCGGATGTACTTTCGGAATAAACAATGACAAATACACGTGCTGCTGACAGTTTGTCAACATACTGTAGATGGTGCTACAATCTTTTTGTTCACATTCTTCTTACATAGATATAAAAAACAAATATTATTTGAAAATGTGACGACTGCCGATTGTTAATACACAAGAAAATTTCGGTGCGTTTAACGAGAAATATTGATCAAAACGTGCACTACTGAATATCATAACTTAAAGCAAACTTCTGCTTTGGTATGTAAATTAATGTTGTCAACCGTCGGCATTCTTCGCATGCAAAAATGAGTTTCGTATTATAAGTATACGTATATGTAAGAAATTGTAATATTAATAAAAAAATTGAATTAAATATTACATAAAGTTGAAATAGAAGTGATTGATCTATAAATTTACATTTAAACTAGTTTAAAAAGGGTAAGTAATACAATTGTTGGTAATCTAAATGTTATTATCGTGAAATACATATTACGGAAATAATAATATTATTTAATAAAAGTTTAAAGTATGCATTTTACAATTTTAAACGTTACTGTTATCAAAGGAAAGAACAATGCAAAAATCTCTTAGATTAAAACGTGAATTAGAACGACTTGCACAAAATCCTTCGGAAGGAATTTGTTGTTATCCAAAATCGGATAACTTGGAACACCTCACTGCAACAATTGTTGGACCCTGTGGTAGCCCATACAATGGAACTATTTTTGAATTAGATATCGATATACCTAAAGAATATCCTTTTGAACCTCCAAGAATTACTTTTAAAACACCTGTTTATCATCCAAACATTGATAATAAAGGTCGTATCTGTATGGATTTATTAAATATGCCACCTAAAGGTAGTTGGAAACCTACCATTGGCTTGAAAAATCTTTTGGACGCAGTACAATGCCTTTTAGGTAATCCAAATCCTGATGATCCTCTAATGGTTGATATAGCCGAAGAATATAAATTTAATAAACAAGAATTTGAAAGGAAAGTAAAAAAATTTATCGAAGAAACAAAAACTAAATACTCATAGGTGTAAGTATTTTATTGAATATATAAAACAAGTAGTGTATAATAATGATATAAAAGGAATATAATACAAATATGTGTTTCAGATGTAATCGTTTAATTCTGTTTATGAAGTTACATCCATGAATTCTTGTAAACTAAACGATTTTTGTATTTTGTACAATAAAATATTATAAAATATATACATGTATATTTTTAAATATATACAGATATATACAGTGCTGTCTACAGTGGTAAGGTGAAGTTAGTGGAAGAATTAAATATAATCTGTGAAATATATAACTCGACCTTGTTAAGATACATCGATCTTTGCACACTAAATTGTGATTAAGGTTAAACATTTTTTTTTAATATCACATATGGGTAGAAAAGTAAAACTATAATTAACTTATACACGAATTAACATTGGTGATCTATTGTAGACATTTTTTACCATCCATAAAATATATAATAAAAATAAATACGCGTGTATCTAAAATCATGGAGTTAAACAAACACGCGTGAATTTCAAATTTCGCGTCTGCTGTTGAAATCAATACCATAAAACATAATAGCATAGATAAGAATACTGTTTTTATATTGGTATTCGAAAAGATGAAAATGAGAAAAATAGTAAATCAAAATGAAAAGATAAGCAGAATATTAAGTTGAAATGTTTATGAAACTATTGAAAGCTGAACATTTTCTACAGTCTCTGAGCGGAGAAAGAAATAAATTCCATTTGCTATTAATATTATAAGTGATTTATTTTTACATACGCATAAAATAAAATTTCTGTGGAAGGAATGACGTTCTTGAAACGAGAAAAATAAAGAATATTTAAACGTATTAAAGATAAATTCTCTTTTTATTATGATTTTGACCAGTCACATCGTTAGAACCAATGAAATTCTTATTTAGGTACATATAATACGTCCTCTTCCTTCGGATAAGAAAACTAGCCCACCGTTAAGAACGCCCTCTAGAACAAAAATCGTGTAACTATTTCTTCGGTAAATATCATTGAACAGGTCTCTTCGTTTTATCAACGGAAACGTATTTGCACATCAATTTGTAAATCAATAGTTTGCAAATACAAGTATTGCCCTGAATACGTATACCATTAAAACAACAATAATTTAGAAAAAAGAAATTGTGAATATAAAGGTTTAAAAAAATTCATGATTAGATGATTACTTCGATTTCTATGGAATTCGTTTTGGCTCATAAGGAAATTCCGGAAGTGAAGTAACGAAAGAAGAAAGTCGCCATTTTGTGTTCGTCGAGAAGGATAAAGACTGTGAATGACGGCTTGACTGAGCTGAATAGCCTTCGTTTAATTATCGTTCCTTTGTTTTTTCTTCCATCATTCGTTCGGCTGTGCCGTGTTAAACAGCGTTGATGATTGGGATTCCGCGTGACGATCGACATAAGATCACGGTTAAAATCCGCAACAATATGAAAAGGAGTTCTAGTCGAGACACTCCACCTCCTCGCGTCAAACGAAGCAGATCCTCCATGGGACGGTAAACCTTTTTTCGTTATTTATCAAAGTTTTTCCATTTAAGAGAAATCATTACAAATGAGTCATATTGCTTTCTTCCAATTTTTTTCGTTACAATTTATAAGGTTATTGCATTGATTAAATACAAAATGGTAAATACATAGATTTTGTATTTTGAGTAAATTAAATTTTTTCAAACGTAAATAATTTTTGGTAGAAATGATTTTATAATCTTTCAGATACGATGATTCTAGCGACGAAAGAATAACACCTGAAAGAATCCGTCGTCGCAGTAGAGGTGCAAGAAGCCCAAGTCCCCCAACACGTGCCTCGTCTCATGCTCGTTATGTAGAATCTAGTTCTCACAGGGATGATTATTTAAGAGCACCCAGAGAGTTACCTCCGGAACGCCCTTACAGTTACAAAGTACTTTGTATCAGTTCAATTCATCCGAAAGCAAGCGATGAAGTGATTAAAGATACTCTTTATAGAGAATACAAGAAATTCGGGGATTTCTCTATTAGAATTTCTCATGAATTAGATGAGCGCGTTGCATACGTTTGTTTTAGAAGTTCAGAAGATGCTAGAGATGCAAAACATGCAAAACCAAGAATTATTATGTACGACAAAGTGGCACTTGTCGAACCAGTTTATGAGAGACCCGACACCTACCGTCGTCCAAGGTCGATTACGCCGCCTGATTATGAAAGATATTATGCTAGAAGCCCTGGTCCAACAGATAGACATAGACCTTTGGAAAGATACGAAAGAGTTTATGGACCTCCAGTTGGATTGCCTCCACCACACAGAGAAATGAGACGCGAGACAATTCCTCCACCTCATCATGATTTTGTAAGACCACCGATTCATCATGGTCCCCCTCACGTTCATCCTGGTGGTCCCCCGCATCACTACGGGCCTCCAAGACATATGATGATACGTCATCCAGTTCATGGATTTGAACGCGTGGAGAACAAAAAAGACAAATTTCCCAATTACTTGCATCATGTTTCACCGGAAGACGATCCACTGGCAACAAGGACTCTTTTTGCAGGAAACTTAGAAATCAATATCACGGAAGAGGAATTAAGGAGAATTTTTAGTAAATATGGAATTGTTGATGATATTGATATCAAAAGACCCCCACCAGGAACAGGGAATGCTTATGCTTTTGTCAGATTTCAAACTTTAGACATGGCACACAGATGTAAAGTTGAATTATCTGGGCAATATATTGGAAAATTCCAATGCAAGATTGGTTATGGAAAAGCTACTCCTACTACAAGAATTTGGGTCGGTGGTTTAGGACCATGGACCTCTGTACCACAATTAGAAAGAGAATTTGATCGATTTGGAGCTATAAAGAAAATTGATTACATAAAAGGCGACAGCAATGCTTACATTCTGTATGATTCAATTGATGCGGCTCAAGCTGCTGTAAAAGAAATGAGAGGTTTTCCTTTAGGTGGCCCAGACAGAAGATTAAGAGTAGATTTCGCAGATGTAACACCGGGATTTGGATTCAAACCTAGGCCTTACCCGGAAGAAAGTGGAGAATTCCGACCAAGACCAGTTGATTATGAGTCCTCTTATGATCCGTATGGGCCAGATAGCGACTTCGGCTATGGACCAAGAGGACTCAGAGGTAGGGGATCTGCTCCATGGCATGAGAGGAGAGGTGGAGGAAGAGGTGGTTACCGTGGAACTTATCCAGAAAGTTATGTAAGAGATGAAGCTGATTGGTCTAGTCGTAGACCACCCCCAGAGTTAGAATATGAAGCTCCGAGAAGCTTACGTCGGTCTCTGTCGCGGGAACCTGGTGTAGATAGATCACGATCACGGTCTCCTCGTAGAAGGCAAATAGATTCAGATTCAGATTCAGAAAATACTCGTACAGGAATGCTTTCTACGTCTCGAACATTACCTGAAGTTGCTAGAAAATCAATAGCTGTATGGCAGGGAGCATTAATTTTAAAGAATTCTCTATTTCCAGCCAAATTTCACTTAACCGATGGCGATACAGAAATCATTGAAGCTTTAATGAAAGATGAGGATGGAAAACATATGTTAAGAATTACACAGAGATTACGTTTAGATCAACCAAAATTAGATGATGTTTCAAAAAGAATTCAAACTTCCAGTTCACATGCGATTTTCTTAGGATTGGCTGGTTCAAGTACAGTTATTTCTACAGATGACGCTAATGTACAAACAAGACCACTGCGTAATTTAGTGTCATACTTGAAGCAAAAAGAAGCAGCAGGAGTTATTTCGCTACTTAACAAAGACACAGAGGGTACTGGAGTTCTTTATGCATTTCCACCTTGTGCATTTTCTACAGAGTTATTGAAAAGAACCTGTCCAAGCCTCAGTGAAGAAGGACTCAAAGAGGATCATCTGGTAATCGTCGTTGTTAAGGGGGGTAGCGCCTAAGTTTTCTTCATGGTCAAGGTTTTAAATTTACATATATACATATGTATGTATGTATGCGTGTATATATATGTGTGTGTGTGTACATATATATGTGTATATAAATGTGTGTGCGTATGTGTGTATGTATGTATATATACACATGTATTTCATATAATTATATGTACATATATATATGTATATACACGAATGTGTGTACATGCGTATGTATGAGTGTCTGTGCTTGTATATACAGACTGAAGTGTTTAGTTACTCTCGCTTTAAATATATTATTTTCAATTTTTTAAAAACTGCTTCATATAGAACATGAATATGAGTTTTGAAAAATTTATGTAAGTAAATCATAATGTTTTTACGATACTTATTAAAATCAACATTTTGGTAAGATTTTTTTTTAGTTCTATATTGAGAAGGTGAATGTTGTCAAGATTATTAAAAATTATGCATTCTGCATAATGCAATAAGATCATTTTATTTTAAAAATATATATAATGTAAGTTAAATTTATTAAATACCATATTTACTGTACCAAAAAACAGTGGTCATCTATAATAGAAAGTAATAAAATTATTTGTTGAGGTGCAAACACAAATCAAATTACGTTATATGTTCAAATTAAAAGAATCAGAAATTTGATGTATTTAATGTTAGAACTTCCTGGAAGATAAATTGATTCTATGTGAATAATTTTTTATAATTGCATACAAACAAAGTAGAAGACGCTAAACACATAAGTCTATATATACACTGAAAACATAAAATTTTTCTGAATCTGAATTGCTGAAAAATGTTTAAACAATAATAAGGATAATAGAAAAGATCGAATGTAATATATTTTCCAAATTGTTTGCTATCTATTTATATTATCATTTGACAAGTATATTTTTATTTTTCTTCAGTATTTTAAAAACTACATAACTATATTAAAAAGCAGTTCAGTATTCTATAAGTTTTGACAGAACATATAATTAAGTTATTCTAATAATTA